GTACGTTAGAATAGAGTTACATAACCCTGCTTTTTTCATTACCTCTTCCATGGCCTTTGTAATACAGAAAGTCTTTCAGCCCAGCGAAAAAGGGGTAGCAATGAAAGAAAAACTTTAACTACTTTAACTTTAAATACAGTCAGCCTGTCAGCTAGTTACCCACCAGCAAAGTTAGCTGTTTTTGTAGCACTTCACAATACACGTCTTTGTTGGTTTGGTGTGAGAGGTGCTTTGTTCAGTTGGTGCCTAACCTGTGGAGGTTCGGCTACGGCTGAATGCCGAAGAAGCAAATGTGAATTAAACTGTTAACGCCAAAGTTGCATTGATACCATCTGATACCATTTGCAAGTTTGGCTGTTGAGCCTATGTTTTGTCAGTGTACCCAAAGAAGTTGAAGTATCAGGTGTGCAGGAATTTAGTCAAATAGATTAGATCTACTTGTAATTCCCTCTGAAAAGGTGAAATAGTCTGCCAGTGTTTTGCTTACAATTGCCATTTTTTGGGTGCCTTTATTTTCTGCTCGAATGCGGAACAGTAAGAGTAAAGTCAGTGGGTCTCAGTTTGCCTCTCCTCAGAGATCGCAGGGATGGACAGAGTAGAGTCGGTTCATGTTACACTGTTCTCATCTGGAGCATTTGTTTTTTATTTGGCCATCAGAAGTTTTCCAACTCTCTGCCTTACAGTAATTAGAGAGACGTCTTAATTCTCCAGCCACTTCCTTTATGCCTGCGTGAATGCTGCTTTTTCTCCTCTGTCCTTCATTCCTGCCTGATTACATTAAAAAGTACTGTGGTCAAACCCTCCAAAATACCCCAAATTGTTGGAAGAGGGGTGGTGATGGAATGCATGAGTGTTACCCAGCTCTGTTTTGGCACAAATGCTTTTCATAACTTTTAAAACCTTTTCATGAGGAAACAAAACAAAAAAAAATGAACAGAGATCAAAACTTCTTTGTAAATTATCTGACGGTAAAAGACGATAGTTAAGATAAGATGGATCTGTGTTTTAGATCAAAAAGCTTCAAAAGCTTTTTGAAAAGTTTTATTCGTTGCTTCCTTTTGCATGTGAAGCTACAGCAATGAGTATGTCGCTGCTTACACTGTCTGTGTTTGTGTGTGTGTGTGTGTGTGTGTGTGTGTGTGTGTGAGTGTGTTTGGGTTTTTGTGTTTTCTTTTCTTCACCTGCTGCCTACTGAAAAGATAACACAGCTGTCAACACAATCATTTTGAAATCATTCTTAGAAACAGCAGCCAGTATTTACAAAGATATTTGATGATGAAGACAAAAAATGGTGAAAAACGAGTGTGTGTCAAAGGCAAGCTGTATAACATCATAATAAGACAAAAGATGCTGTCAGATGGCTGCAGTATAATAAGTATAAATGTTTATGTTATCATAACGGAGTCAGAAAAGGGGGGGGAATCCAAAGAAAAATGCATGCACCCATGACATGGTTTTTGGTATGAATAAAACCGTAGCTATCAGTACAGATGCAGGGATAGATCAGATATAAGGTAGTGGGCTGGAAGACTTTAAAAAATTAAGTTAGTATTTATAATCAATATTTCTTTTCCTTTGTGAAAGTGAGCAGAAATTGATAACAAAGCATTATGATTAAATAGAAAAAATATTAGTATTGGCACCATGAAGTCTTAAAAAAATTTGTTTTAATTAATTTCATTATTTCTTCTTTTAGAAATAAAGATTTACAGACTCAAGTATTTAAAATAGGTGTGTGCACTATGCTTCTCTCTGTGGTGGAGAAAAAAAAGCTGAATTTTCACTGTCAGCGAGTTGTTTTTAGGCTTGACTCTCATCCTAATCATCCCCCTCTTCCTCTTTTCTCTTTTCCTTCCTCTCTTTACCCCCTCGCCTCTTCCCCTCCCCTCCCACAGCGGCGGTGGTGGCCGGGTTGGACATGATGCCGGGACAGATACCTGACCCTTCGCTGGCGGCGGGCTCCCTTCCCAGTCTGGGCCCACTGGCGGGCATCTCGGCCACCACGCTCACCGATCAACTCAAGCTGGCTGACTTCCGCCAGCTGGGCACCATGCTGTCTCCGCTGCACTTCCTGGGCAGGCTGGGGAAACGGCCGTTGGCCATCAAGACAGAGGTGAGGAGGAAGAGAAAAGAGGAAACAGAGTGTGTGAAACGTGAATGTCATGGGAGTATTAGCCAATCAAGTCAGGCTTTATCGTTTTATCATTAAGAGTCATTTTTGTCTGTCACCCAAGTATGGTCACAAAAACAGAAGACATGGTAGCAGCCAAAGTGTCAAACTCATGGCTTCAAATCAGTAAGCCAAGGGGTAACCTCAGGGTGGCTGTGTCCACTTTTTTGTACAACCTGTGATTGAAATGGAAAAATAAGAACAGTAAAATGTAAAAACCTCTTCTGTTTTAATATTAATGATACTTTGTATTTGCAGATGGATGAAGATGAAGAAAGGAGGAAACGAAGACGAGAGAAAAACAAAGTTGCTGCAGCACGATGCCGAAACAAAAAGAAGGAACGGACTGACTTCCTTCAAAGGGTGAGTTCATGATTCAGCACTGCACGCTGAAGAGCAGAACAAAATCATTTTTCATGATCTCAAACCACTTATTCATGTTTGTGGTTAGATTAGTTTTTGTCCTCAAATTTCAATATCAACTCATTAAGCGTAAGATTGTCCTCTGTGAGGTGTTTTTTTCCAGTAGTATGTACTAATTGAATGCCTTTGTCCAGGAATCGGAACGTCTGGAAATGGTGAACTCGGAGCTGAAAGCCCAGATCGAGGAGCTCCGTCTGGAGAGGCAGCAGCTAATGGTGATGCTCAATCTCCACCGGCCGACATGCATCGTGAGGACCGACAGCGTCAAAACACCTGAGAGTGAGGCCAACCCACTGCTGGAGCAGCTGTCCTCTGAAACCAAGTGAAAAAAGAGAAACCAGGGAAGTTCCTGAAGCCCAAACTAGCACCACCGTGGCTGCCGTTTATATGTTAACATAACTGGCAATACATTTCTAAAGAAGCACTTGAGCTCCAAGCTGGAGACTTTTGGAGACTTTGTCCAAAGATCTGAGGTTGTGGGGCTTCCTCAGTACTGCTACACGAGCTGGCTCTGTCCATTGGAAGACTGGAAATACCCAGGTTCATCTCCACATTAAGTGTTGTTGTTGATACCCGCTGTGCCTCGTTGTTACTTCAACCATCTCTACAAAAAAGGGACCAATGGAAACAGTAGAGTATGACTGGAAACAGCGCTGAGGAAACACACTAATATCACTATGGTGCTCTGTTACAAAAGCCCTGCGTAGATTGTGTGGCATTGTTTCAGTTCCGTGTTCTGCAGTTTTCCTAATGTATGCTAGCTGAAATATACAGGTGTAGAGTTATTAGGATAAAATACTCATTACAGATACACCAAATGGAGTAGAGGTTTTTTGTTTTTTTTCAGTGTTTATTTCTATACCCTGCCTCGACGATGGCAGTTACCGGTTGATCCGATTTGTGGTGACGCTGGCGTCATGAAAAGCACATATACACAAAATGTTTACACCCTTATTTTTTGGACTTGTTGTCTGTCCATTATTGTACTTGTTTTATACTGCTTTCTATACATAAACATATATGAAATGCTTGTGAATCACTTGATGTGATTTGTCTTTCAGTCTTTGCAGTCTGTCATGTTGCGCTGTCAAACAGCTGTGAAAAGGAGTAGAGGCTCCTCAGCTGAGCAGTATTTCAGTGTCTGTTCTGCATCTCTCTTTATGTATAAACTGATATCCTGAATAGATTAAATTTTATTTTCTAACTACAAGAAAGACCTTTTATGTTTTCCTTCCATTACGTTACACCTGTAAAAATGCAATATTGCAATATACTGAAGTTGAATTTGCACCAGCCGGTCATGACACTAGAATTACAGAATACCAAATGTTGTGCAATCACGTTTTCTTCAGCGCTATTCTTCAGTATATTGCCAAAGTCAGGGCTTTACTTTTGTTTGCACAACTCTGAAAAGGTCACTCATGCTTTTATTTCTTCGAGCCTTGATTAACATAGATCCCTTTGTTCACTGCTCACCGCGAGAAATGACAGACGGCACAGAACTAACCCGACAGCAGACGCCCCAGTACCTGCTGACGATCACTGGCTGCCTCTTCATTGTAGAATTTATCCTAGTACTTTATTACTGTTTACAAGTCTGGTGTTTATTGGAACATGTATTTTATTAGTATATTTATTAGAACGGACTCTTTTTTTTTTTTTTTTTTTTTTTTTTTGTGAATATGATACCTCACAAACACTTGGAAGACATTTCTTTAAATTTAGCACAAATATGCAATTGAGCTCAAGGATGAGCTAATTAGATTTTCATGGTCAGAGAGGAAAGGACACTGTGACATATTGCCTTGAGAAAATGTTGACTTCAACTAAAGAACGAACTGACTAGTAAAGAAGTGAAATCATGAATGGGCTTCTCTAGCTTCTCTAGCTCTTGCTGGGACACATAATCTCTCACTTAGATTTCTGAGATGCCAAAAAGCAGATTTAGTTACAGCTTTAATGTGGTCAATGAAACTAATCCTTATCCACGGTTACACAGAGATTTATCGCATGAGTTCTTTAGCGCACAAGAGTCCACAGTCAAATATCAGTCACTCTAACCTCATGACGATAACATTTTACACAGGATAAAAAGGATACACAGGATACCCACATGCGTGTCTACTATAAACAAAATCAAATCAAAGCTCTGTGAGAACATTAGAGTCAAATACGTGGTGATCCTTTCCTACAGCCTTTGCACTTAAGTGTTAACAATTAGTAATAAGAAGCAAAAACACGTCGACGTCGCAATGTGCCGCATGTTTTAAAAAAGGGTGCGGGAGATTATTGCAATAAAAGAACAACTCATATTTGTGGTTATATTTTACCCCATTTGGTAGAATTGGTAGTCTGACTGTATAAAGGAGTGCTTTATACAGTCATTGGTCTCTCCCACGTTACAACCACATCCGGTCTCATCTCGATAGGGATTACGGTGAACAGCGCCATCTAGTGCTTATCTATATAAACGAATCAAAGTCTTCACTATTACCATACTTTAAACCATTATTAATTGATATAGGGTACTTTTCTTTCTTTCTTTCTTTTTTTTAAGATGGAAATGGCCGTTTCCAGTGTGCTTCATTTGTTTTTATCGATAATTTTCCGGCCGCCCTCGGATCTTTCATAACTTTCCTTCTCCTGATCAGCCGTTGGATCATCTTCTTAACACTAGAAAACGACAAATTTTTTCCCAGGTAGACGGATTATTCCTCTGCTATGAACAATAATAAAGGTCTGACAAATAGGATTTTATATAAAAAAGTAAGTATTTGTTTTAATTCCGAATAAAACAGTGTTTCCCCTCTTCTGCTGATCTAACTGTTAACTGCTTGATAAAATGCAGTAGTAGCTAGGTAGCTAGTTAGGTGGCAGCTCTTCTTCTACCTCACTGTTAAATAAATGCGCTGTAAAGTAAGTCATGTTAAGTTCAGTAGATCTTTAAACTTCATGTAAAACTATCCGTGTGTTGTTTCTGCAGGTTTCTCTATCAGGTTCACATTGCTCATGGAAGTAGTGCATAGCCAGGGGCGTTTCCAGGATTTTTAAATGTTGGGGAAGACAGGAAGTCTGAATATTTAAGCTGATGGAAATACCAGGAGTGGGTTTTTCATGCAAAGATATTTCAAGATTAAGTTCAGTTTTCACTGATGATTGTTGTCTAAAGATTGCCCACAGCCCAGTGTGCTCTCTGCTACTGTGGATAGTGGTGGTAGACTCGGTAGCTTTAATTGTGCCCCATTTTTATATATTTTTGAAGGGGTGCCACACATAACCTTTCTGACAGTTGTCAATATCTGTACATGTTTAGACTTTCATCTCACTTTGTCGGTCGAGTCTGGGTACTTTGCATAGTTGATCACATTTTCTTCTTTTATTGTAGGGCAGTTAAATAGAACTCATCTGAATATTGTAAATCATGCACATCCCTAATAAATTCAGTGTAAAGACTTTCATGTGCAGCTCTTTGCACTCATATAGATGCTAAAGCCTAGAAAGTGGCAGTGCACAGGAGTTTACAAAAATTACACAATGTTGCTTAAACAGTCTAATAGCCTGCAGCAGTGAATCCTACCTGTCTGCTCCTCTTATGTTGTCTTCCAAACATACACTTGAGGTTGTCAGGATCTTGTGCCGTGATGAATAACATCCATGAAGACAGTGTGGATTTTCAGTCCAATTCACAAGAGGAAAAGCAGCTCTCTGTTCAGTCAGTCCTGTCCAGAGGATCCCAGGAGGAAATCAAGTTCACTAAGGGCCAAGCAGGGCACAGTGATGATGAATGCAGTACTGACCTGGAAGACGATAGTATGTTCATGGAGCAAAACAATTCCGTAATAGTAGATGTGTTTTTTATTTACCCGTCACGTCTTCTTATTTTCATTTCAGTTTTCACCTCCAGCAGGAGATTGAATTTGTCCCCATCAGACGTGTATCTAAAGGCCTGCAAGCAGACAGGAGCCGTTCCTGTTTCCTACATCCTCTGCCACTTGGATGATGCTATTCTAGACCTGAATTACTATGGGCTGGGACCTCTGGGGGCCAAAGCTCTGGCTATCCTTCTGAAAGTAATCCTTTTTTCTAGCTATTCATGCAATCCCCAAATTAAGATGGTGTAGGTCATGCTGGATCAAGTTCTGGTCATGTAATTAGTCTGTAACATATTTCAAATGAGTTTGTACTTTTTAAACAATATTGTATCATTTTTTATTAATTTATTTTTTAATGTTTTAGAGTCACGGTGTAGTCACCCACCTCGAGTTGAAAGGGAACTCACTTCAGGCTGAAGGGACACAGTATCTGATGGCGATGCTTTTTGAAAACATCAGCATTCAGAGTCTAGTAACGACTTTAAAAATATCACATTCAAAACTACAGTTTTGTGTAGATGTAATCCTCTTGCTGTATGTGCAAGAGAAATGGCCTTAATGTTATTTAAAAAACAAAAATCTCAATCTTGTCTTTTCTTCAGAATCTTTCTGACAACAAGCTGGGCCTTAAAGGAGCAGAGGTTATCTCCAAAATGCTGTCAGACAATCGTAAGCTCAAATCCATCAACCTCTCAGGTGCTCAGCCAAGTCTTAAGCTATGCTGACATGAACTTCTGTCTATCACTGTAATACAGCAGCGAAATGAAGAAGGTAATTCTCTCATTTCCCTTTGTTCTCTTAGAAAATGACTTTAGTGACGCTGCAGCTAAATGCTTGGCAGAAGCATTAAAGGTGAGTGCAGACTGCCGAATGCCGCATAATGAATTACACATGTCTATATGTGTCACGTCTATATATGCTTTAAGCTGCAATTCAGAATTTTGTTTCCTATCTAACAGAATGATTTTGTGGTCAAAGAGCTTGACCTCAGTTACAACTGCATCTGCGATGCAGGAGGAGAAGACTTGGGTGTCATGTTAGGTACAGATCATCTCTATTTCTGTTCACATTCGATCCTTCAAATTAATGCAAAGCTTTACTTTTATTTTTTGTAAATTAGAAATTCTAATGATGAAGCAGCTTTTGACAATTTTGGAATAGCATCTGGGCTTTAAGCGTTAGGGTAGAAACAAGCTATCCTCACTTTGGAACATCCAGCTGTAAATTTCTCTCTCTCTGCATTGGCTCCCTGTTAAGTCTAGAATTTAAAATTGTTTTCCTTACAAACAGCATTTTGAATAATCAGGCCGTATTAGGACAATATGGACCGTGTAGTACAGCGGTCCCCAACCCCCGGGCCTCGGACCGGTACCGGTCCGTGAGTCGTTTGGTACCGGGCCGCGACGGTTGAGGCTCAGGTGTGAAATGTATAGTTTTCAGGGTTTTTATCAGTTTTCAGCGTTATTTTGTTGTCGTTTTTATCGTTTACTTGGTTTTCCTTGGGCTTTTCAGGTGTGTTATGAATAAATGTTCTTTTTTTCGGTACCAGTACTAGTTTTATTTTGTTGTATTTATCCGCGACAACCTTAAAGGCCAGTCCATGAAAATATTGTTGGGCATAAACCGGTCCGTGGCGCAAAAAAGGTTGGGGACCGCTGGTGTAGTACCATATTGTCCTAATAGAGAACTTCACTCTTCACTCTCTGGTGTTTCTCTACTTTTAAGATTTGACTTTTTGATGAAGTTTATAGTTAGGGCTGAATCAGGTGACTCAGAAGGATCCCTTAGTTACTTGTTATAGGCACAAACTGCTGTGTGACTTCCTGTGATCCACTGAGCATTTCCTCTCCGCTCACCTTGTCAGCACTCAGCATGTCATTAGATTCGGCCTTCTCTCTCTGCGAGTTGTGCTCTCTCTCCCATCACCCACAATCAGTTGCCACTGATGGCTACCCCCTCCCTGTTTCCGTGAAGATAGGAAGTACCTTGAGGCAATTTTGCACCGTATAAATAAACCTTCATGTGGGAGGACACCTCTGTAGTGATAACAAAGAATATTATAGATCATGCAATGAGAGTCAGGGAAAGAAAGTTGCTAAAAAGCTGAGGATTATAGCTTCTTATTAGTAGATATACTGTGAAGGCTGTTTGAGCATTATTGTTCTTGTTGTTGAGTTTCCTTCCATTATGAAATATAGTCAGTGTGCCCTTATGATATTATACTATATCATTGTAGTAGTTTAAGTATTTTAGAGAAAAAGACAAATTCTGCTGCACGGCATTGATTCTCAAAGTGGGTGTTGTAGCCTCCTGGTGGGCTGTGGAAGTATTGCAGGTGGTTCATTTTGTGATTTTAACTACCGGTAAAAAGTCACATTATATATTTACATACATTACATACATTTCCATACATACAGCTACTATTTAAATAAGAAATAGAACTGAAACAAAAAAAAGGGGATTTTAAAATAACACATTTTTTAATTTTCTGACTGTTTTTGGTCTTGAACTCGAACTTGAATTTATATCTCGTCAGCAGTAGGGAAGAAATAAAACTGAAGCAATGGCTGTCTGGTAGTAGAAGTAAAGCCAGCAGAGCAAATTAGCAGGCAATCAAAATGCATCAACAAAACATAAAGAACTAAATACTATATACTTCATCTTATTCCGTGTGATGATCAGATGTACTTTGGTTGGGCAGCATTTGATTTTCAGCAGTTTGAAGTCCTGGATTGGCTGCTGTACAGACTTTCTAAACTAAAGTAATTATGAAAACAAACAAGCAGGCCTATAAAAGAGAAATGTGACCCACTGATATATTACTTAATAGTAAAGTATTAAGTATTCCTAAAGTATTTCTTGAACTTGAGAAAATTTTACATGTAGCTTGTAGATTAGTCTCAAATGTATTGTGACTTTGTAAAAATGTGTATTTCACTTCCTTGTAGCAGAGAACATCGGTATTGAAGTCCTAAATCTGAGCTGGAATCACTTTCTTATACGTGGCAATGCGGCTCTGATTGCTGGTCTAAAGGTGACTAAAATGACACACTCGAGCAAAGAGTTCAGTTTTGTTAACTCTCGTTGCTGACCTTCTCTCCCCCCTTTTCTTTCCTCAGGTAAACGCAACACTGAAGCAACTCCAGCTGTCGAACAGTGGATTTGGCCGTCCAGAGGTACAGCTGATGGCTGAAGTGCTGCAACAAAATGACACACTTGTGCTGCTGGACCTCAGCATTAACTGTGTGGACGATGAAGCTGTAAGGCTGCTCTGCCAGGGCCTGGCCACCAACGAAACCCTCGAGGTTCTCAAAGTGAGTAAAAGACTCCTGCAGCAATACTTCATTGTAACGATTTTAATGTCATTGCACCCTATGAATTTGAGATCATGTTTGGTCTTTGCGTGTGCGTTTCAGCTCTCTCGCAACCCCATAACAAAAATCGGAGCCGCCACGCTGCTCAGAACGGTTAAAAACAACATGAAATCAGCACTGGAGGAGATCGATATTTCTGTAAGTGCCGCGAAAGAATATAAGCTGAGGTGTAAATAAAAGTAGTATCTGTTTTAATTTACAGTCTGTTTTTGGTTAATGACGCATTTGTTGTAATTTTGCCTCTGTACACCACCGCAGTGGAGTACATTTTTGTACACAAGCCCCCAAAAGTAATTAGATACACAATCACAATATTATATGATCATAATATGTCTGTGACTGTGTGAGTGCAGAGTGTGCTTGTCTGTGAGACCTTTGTGGAGCTGCTGGAAGAAACCCGCGTGACCCGCCCTGCTCTGCGGTTCCAGTATTATATTCTGCCCTCCGTCACCAAGAACTTATTGGCACTTGGGATCTTTAAGGTACATTGTCAAGAAGGCTGAGAAAACTGGTGATGGGAAAAGATGGGAAAATCAATAAAATCATTTCTGCTTTTTCAGTTCATACTTCAGAAGTCTTAGCAGCCTCTTTAACATGCTTTCAACTGTAAAACAAGATCTCTCTCTATATGTTTTTTTCCGTAGAAGTTCTTTGAAGAGCAAAATAAGAGCATCATGGATTTCTTCCAGGCTCTGGACAAAGAGGGAACCATGAAAGTCTCCACCTCTGCCTTCAGGAAGGCTGTAAAGGTCAGGCTAACGGTTTGTCATGCTGCAGTGATAATGTAATAATGCACCTCATGAGCAACGATAGCAAATCTATGACAGAATGTTAACTTAGTAAGTTGTAGCTCCCACTCTTGCGTGAATGAGCGATTGGGAAATTGAACTTGTCACACATGCAGGAAGCTAACATACCTCTGGATCAACAGCAGCTTGGCTGGTTGGTCAGGAAGTTTGACAAGAACTGCACGGCAACCATAGTGTACAGGTTAGTCTGCAAACACACAAACAGCAGCACATGATGACCCCTGATGATGTCTTTAACAAATGCAGTTCATTTATTCTAGTTTGCCTGGGTTTTTGAAAACCTGGACAGCACTGAGGTTAAATAAAAAAAGTTTATTTTCTTGTTCTTTTCATTTAGAAATCCAAGTTTGACAGAATCATCTTAACTTGGGCTTTTTTACCCCGCAGTATTTTCAATAATATTTTTATTGTCTTCATTTGAACACAGAGTTCAGTGAGGTTGTTTTTTATGTGTGGATGATAGACTGTATATAAATGATGGACGTAGGCACTGTGCTGTCATTGGTTAGTGATGTCCCATTGTGAAATCTCAAACTAAGCTGCTTTGCATCCTGTTTCATCCATACATCCATTTTAAAAACAGTCTGGGGTGTGAAGTAAGCCTTTAAATGTAATCAGGGGTGTTTCAAGTTAAACACTTACTAACTGAGAAATATCTTCAGAACGTCGTCTGTCAGCCATGAATATAATGTCAGGTTCTCTTTAAACTGTGTCTCTATTTTTGCAGTCAGCTGACTGAGCTGTCATAGACGTGGAGACACAGTATCACTAACAGGAAGATTTGGGAGGGCTGTTGACATCTTTAAATAAATGTTGTTGGAGTTTATACTTGATTTTCTCCTTAATATGCAGTAGTTCCTTCATTGATTTCTAGTATAACTTTCAACTAAAAGCACAGTTTCGCAATTTTTTCACAGTTTTAGCTAAATCCAAATCGGTCCACTTCAGTGTGTACACTTGAACCTGTGACATCAACCAGCTGCACTAACCTCAGTGCTGTGAGCTGTGGCTCGGCCGGCGGGGTCCTCTGCCTCATTCTCTCCATCCAAAATAATCTTCTGGTATGACAACAGAACAAGAGGAGGAAGAAGAAAAGAGCTGGGGTCCATATCAAAGGACAGAGGCGACACAAAGAATAGGGCCAGATGCGAGCCAGTTGTTTCACCACATTCGTTAGCTTTGAATGAAATGGCCCGCAAAGGAAACGGTACACTTATGAATATGCATGCAGAGCATTACTTATGCAGGCCCTGCCGAATGGGATTACTATTATTATTAAGAGTGTGCAGAATTGAATTGTCTCAAGGTGCGATATCGAGCAGCGCTATCGGTTTCTGCCAGGTGGCTCCAGATGCAGCTACAGAGGAGACAATGACACAACGCACGGTCTCATCTGCGTCGGCTTTTTGTGTCACAATTAAACGGCTTTTTGTGATACAACTATGGGTGATCAGAAGATGCGTCACCCTTTAAACTGACAGTTTAATTATCATTATTCTTTTGAATATTTTATCAGAGATTTAGCTTTGTTTTGAAACCTTTAAGTGAAAGGAGCCCCAGTTATTAGTTTTTTAACAGGCATGTGTTACAAAGAAACTTGGAGTAACAGTTCCATAGATTTGTCTACGAGATGAGCTACAGGTGTCAGCAAACCACCGTCTGTTTTGGTTGGTGCTTCTTTCACTCTTTCTGGATCTTCCTAAACATGAATGTTGACCTCTATGTCAACACCTGGGCTTTATTGTCAATGCTGCTGAAACAGGTTTTGTAGAATCCAGATCCAGACTGAATCCAATTTTGAGCCCATCTGTATGCTTCAGTATGCAAACTATAGGGACTAAAGTACTGGGCCACACCTCTTCGTCTTTGAATTTAAGGGGGGTTTCAGTCCTTTTCCACATGAAATCAAGCACCCAGCCTTGCAGTCTACGTTTGCAAACCTGTGTGAAAGAACGGGTCGTTCTAAAGAGCTCACTGAATCCAAGTGTGGTGTTGTAACGGGATGCCCTTGTCAGTTTGTGAAATTTCTTCCTTCCTAGATATTTCACCATCAACTATAAGCGGTATTATTGCAAAGTGAAAGCATTTAGGAACAAGTGCAACAAAGGCATGAAGTGTATTAGAAGGTAGGAGACAGTAGCAAAGGCAGGAATGTGGACCTGAGAGTAAGGGATCAGCTGTGGAGGTCCCTGGAGGGAGCAGCAGAAAGGAAAGAGTAGATTTTTCATGCATTAGTGTGAGGTTGCTTAAAAAAAACCTAGAAAAAAGTCACAAAAATCATAAACTGTATTAACAAACAGTTTACCTGCATCTGGTGTTTGGCAGCTGGATTGTTCCAAGCAACATGAAGAACTTGCCACAGGTCTTTTGTGGGCTTCAGGCTTTCACTCCTTTTTACAGGACACTGTCTTCTTGTTCTAACTGATTCTGGCTCAGTTTGGCTTTTCTGTCATGCTCATTGATGCTAAATGAATTTGGGACCAATCAGAGGTTTCGCCAATAAGACTGGAGGATGAACTGAAAAAAAAAAAACTAAACTGAACTAAACATCTTAAGTGCTTCAATTTTTTATGCAGTACTGCTCCCAAAAAACCTGTACATAGAGTGTACTCAGCTTTTTAAATCAGCTGTCCAGTAATGGACACATTTCTCTTAATGTACTTTTTCAGCTGGACTAAAATATAATTCTTTATATAACAGTATTGCCACAATGAGCTTGTTTTGAAAGCGAGAAAAAAAATAACAGAATAATTTAGGTAAATTATCTCTCTGATGTGGCTTAATCAAAACAAACAGCTAGCTGCCAATTTCTAATGGGCCATCTTTCATCTGAATGGACACAAAGACTTGAAACCCACGTCTTATTGAGCAGTCCCATTGGAAATTCACAGATTTGGCCAAATTTTGAAGACGAAACATAAAACCTGCCAACAGGCCCTTCAGATATCTATGCACCCACTGGCATACGCTGCCAATTATCTTGATCTCAAAAGCGCTAATGGTATCTTGAGCGGTAATAAAAGTAAATAATTAAATTAAAGGAGCTCTTGTATCATTGTTTGCTGTATTCAGGCCCATTAGAACCTCCAGTATTCTCATGGTAATGTAATGTTTTGGTTTTTTGTGCCCGCGTAATGAATTCTGTGTTTTTCCTCCAAACAGTGTTGTTCAGACATTTGTGTAGGTGCTGGCAGAGAAACAAAGACGTACATTAGGACCCATTGTGCCCTGTGATTATTAAAGTAAACAGAAATACTGAAGAGGTATCATACACAGCTGCAAACACTTGAGCCTGTTTTTGTGAAGTGGGAGAACGGGCCAAGCAACCCTCAAGACTTTGTCAGAGATGATCCCATTATTTGGAGCTTCTCAAGAGCTGAGCGGCAGGCTGGCTAATGAGGCTTTGAAGATCCACCGCTGGCACACAACTCACATGCGGCAGAGAATTCGGGGAGCGAAACAGAATCTGGCACGAGATAAAATGTTTTAGCCAAGATCGGCCGCAAAGACGTCCATTACCTCGGCGCTCTGCTTTTATTTTGCCGGCATTGCTTTTCCAAGACCTTTTAAAAAGAGACAAAGACTTTCCAGGAGATGAATGTGAATGTGTAATGTCCAGTTCATCTGCAAAAAGACAAGGGTTTTTTTGAAAGATCAGGAGTAAAGTTGGGATAATTCACTAGACTTCTTCAGAGACTTCTTGAAAATAGCATGAGGAGAATAGAACACCTATGTATCAACATGAAGAAGAAAAGTGTGAGACAAGTTTCAGTACATATAAATCAAGAGATTTAATGTTTGAAATTGTTTCTTTAAATAAGTAGAAGCATTTCATATACGAGACTGGACAATGAAAATGAATGTTCCAGCATAAAAACCTGCAAATTGTGCACTTTGAACTTTACTTCGAACATATTTTTCATAAAGTAACAAATTGTGTGCATCTAGGTAAAAAAGCATGAGGTTTTTGTTATGTACAGTTTCTGCTGAACAAAAATGAAATGTTCGTTTGTTTTACTAAATAACTGATAACAGTTGGATCAGCGCATGTAACCTTGACAACAGTGAGCGAGGCAAGTTTATACTAGATCGCTATATACAACACAGGACAGGCAGGAATATGATTAAACCAAGTCAAACAGAGAGTTGATGTGGACTTAAAGGCATGGCACTGCTGTACACACAAGTTCCATACAAAGACCTGGTTTCCTGGTTACTGACTCATTTTCTCCAGGCTGTTGCCGGTTACAGTGTCTAACCAAAGCAATCTGTGAAACCTGTGTTAACATCAACATCTTGAACTAATCTGAATTATCCCTGTTCGGCCCTACTGTGGAAAAAGTGGCGCAAGAGCACTAATTAACAAGCGGGGGGGAAATGTTATGCAAGCAGCTGCTGTCTGGAAAAGCCATTCTGTTTTATGATTATACAACTGTGATGAGAGTGAGTTTGCATACCGCTTCATTCATCCGAAGGCTTCATAACGCATCTTTAGACAGGCTTATGTGGAGTTAAAGCCAGAGTTTTGTCTTGTTTTTGAAGTTATTTCCATTTGATTAATTCAAACGTCGTAAAAGAATTACTGATCAAAGTAGCAAACTTTTAGTTTCATCAATTTAGGCAACTTGACAGATACGTTACAGGTAATGTCATGCATTTAAGTGCAATGAGCATTGGAACACAACCCCGGTACGCCCCTGTAGTATCAACACTTGTAAAAAACAATAGTGGTACAGGCTATTTTGTGCGTTTTCTGTGATGTGGAGTTCATTTTTATGCAGCCGAGTATCTTTAAATAAGAATTTAGTGGCGGAAACGTCACATTCCCAGGAGCAGGACTCTTGGATCTTCCACCACCGCTTTGATCTTGCGTAAAAAGGTGACGGCTTCTCTGCCGTCAATGAGTCGGTGATCGTACGTCAATGCCACGTACATCATGGGCCGGATCTCAACCTGCCAAAGCAGACAGTAGTTAGTAGTCTTAAAAATATTATATATGAAAAACTGTATACTGATTCTAGGATTATAATTTAAAGAAAGAAGAGCTCTGTATTTCATCAGTTAACACAATTCTCACCTTGCCATTGACGGCCACAGGTCTGTCAAAGATGCCATGCATGCCCAGGATGGCAGACTGCGGTGGGTTAATGATGGGCGTGCCAAACATGGAGCCAAACACGCCACCGTTGCTGATGGTGAAAGTGCCTCCGTCCATATCCTCGACAGCGAGCTCGTTTTTACGAGCCTGAGGAACAAAACGCAAAGGAATTACTCATTTATTCAGGGGTGCACAGGAACAACAAATATCTGAAAGACTGCTTTTCCCAGTGAGATGAAATGGTTCAAAACGAAAGGATTCTAGGACGTCTGTGCTGTCTCTCATCATTTACCTTTTCTCCCAGAGCATTAATGGCTTTCTCAATGTCAGCGAAGTTCATGGTCTCAACATTCCGGATCACAGGTACAACAAGCCCCTAAAAGTCAAACCTGGTTAATGTCTGATCCATGTTACCTGGAGCAAAAATTGAAGGAGTCAAGAGATCTAACAGTTTACAGAGACTCAAATCTCATACCTTTGGAGTGGCCACGGCAACGCTAATATCTACATAATCTCTGTAGACGATCTCTTTGGTTATGTCATCAATAACTGCAAAAGCATTTTGTAAAATAACAAAAAGAAGTTTTAATCAGTAAAGTTGGCCGCTTGAGTGTGTGAGAGTGGAGATGTTTGTGTGTTCTTACCAGCGTTGACGGCTGGTTGGTCGATCAGAGCGTGTGCAGCAGCCTTAACAAACGCCGACATAAAACCCAGTTTGGTGTCGTGCTTCTTTAAGAAGGCGTCCTTGTGGAGTTTTCTCAGCTCGTGAATGTTGCTGAAATTTTGAACATTGGAGAAAAAGATGGAAATCGGGAGCCTTAGGTACAGCTCAAAAAATCTGGACTGATGCTCACCTCATGTCTACCTCATTGAAGGTAGTCAGCATGGCACAGGTGTTCTGAGCCTCCTTCAGCCTCTGAGCGATCCTCAGCCTCATGCGGTTCATCTTCACCTGGACACGGGAAACAACGGTCGTCGTTATGCTGCTGTATTTTGAGGCCAAATTATTACAGACGTTGACGTAACAGAGGAATATATGAAATGTTGTGTCAACGAGTGTGTTACCCTGCTTTCTCCTCTCACTCCTGGAGCTGCTGTGGGGGCTGGAGCTGCAACAGTGGGTTTGACAGCAGAAACTAAGTAAAAACATAAAGACATATTAATAATTAAACAAAAATCATTCATTGATTAATACATAGCTCTTGTAAAACAAAGGTGTGAGAGCCAACATGAATTGATTGTAACTAGTGCTGTCAATAGATTTAAAAAAATTAACTAGATAATCGTACAATTTTCTGTAATTAATCGCATTTACTTGATCAATAGCCTGGTTGCAATTACATTTTTTCAACTTTATATTTAAGCTTGTAACTGACATTCATGCAATATAATGAAGTAAATGCAGAAAGACACAAAGAATGTGTGCTTAAATTCAAAGAGAATTGGAATAGTTTTCTTCAGTCTTTTAGCACAGGTTCTCTCCTGTGAAATACACCTTTTAAAACAAACCTATATGCTAATATATATTAGTGCTGTCAAACAATTAAGATGTTTAATCAGATTCATTACACAGGGTTACTGTGGATTCATTTTGATTAATCATGATTAAATATCATTCATTTTTATTCTATATTAATCGCATTTCATTTTGCATGAGCAAACAGACTCGAGAAAAAAGGGAAAATATACACACTTAACATGTTTATTGAACATCTTGAACATTAATGTTAACAAAAAACTCTCTCTGTCACTCTTGGGGAGTCACTTCAAGTCCTTAAAACGAGGAACAAAAGCTCTGTAAAGCACGTGTTCTCAATTATGTTAATACGTCTGCAGTTTGTCGCAACTTGACAATTGTGTCAGTCAATATGTCCGAGGTAGACTTACTGAGCCCCCGATGCTGCGTGAGTGATTTGTCGCAAGCTGGGTGACGTGTTAGAAGCCCAATGTGCGTTTATAATCTTCCATATTGAGTTGACTGGTTCAGCTGCCCGTCACCACCAGATCTACTGCCCATTTGCGCATGTGCGAAGGTAACTCTACTTGGACAACCTGCCCAAAATGCGTTGACAGAAACATTTGAGGGATTTTGAGTCATTCTGCACTCCAGATGCGTTAAAAATTTTAATCGTGTTGACCGTGATGGCGGATTAACTTGTGTTAACGTGTTAATTTTGACAGCACTAATTGTAACCTAAAAAGATGCAGAGGTACACATGAGTACACAGTCAGCAACTACATAAAACTACACACCAGGCTTGGGTTGGGCGGGCTGTGGTGGTGGTGCTGGAGGAGTGGCAGCTGGGGCTGCAGGTGGAGGAGAGGTTTCGGCTGCTGGAGGTGGTGCATCTGTAGCTTGGGAGGGGGCAGCTTTGGCAGCAACAGCTGAGAAGAAAGAAGTAGAGAAGGACAAATACAGTATAGGTGCAATGATTGCCATATTATATTTTGCTTCCAATTTCCATAACATTAAAAATCCGATTTTTTTCTCATCCGTAGGACATTCACAGCAAAATTTGCAACACACATGTTTTAAACACCAAATAGAACTAATATTACATGTTCTGTCTTTGATTTTTCCCATGTATTGTAAACTGGGCTCAAGTTACTGAAAATAAACAGGCAAACCTCCTTTCCGGAGTTTAAAGAGAGGCGTTCCTCCTTCTACCTTCCCTCCGTCAGGCACCAGTAACTCCTCGATGACACCGGCTGCAGGAGCGGGGACTTGCACCGAGGTCTGGAAGCACAAGACAAAGAAATCTGTCGTAATTTTAACAACACCCCCACCCTCCAAAAATAGACCGTCTCACGTTTCCTCTGTCACACCTTGTCAGTCTCGATTTCGCAAACCACTTCATCCTCTGACACGGAGTCGCCCACAGCTGGAAATGAATCGATAAAAACAATCAATCCGAAAGCATGCATCGCATGTGTTGAACATTTACCACCAATATTCGGCTTATTCTCACGGTCAGTCATTTGTGGCATATTTATACACACCAACCTTTCTCCCACCTCACATCCCCCTCTGTAACTGATTCTGCAAATGCAGGAGTTTTGACTGTGACCACTTCATCCCCTGTGGAAAAAAAAACAAGCAAATGCAAAAACATTTTGCAGTCAGTTAAATGCAGAACAGATACAAAGCATGATGCTGACATTGGTTAAAGACATAGATGTGATACATACTGTGGTGAGCAGATGTCTTAAAGTATCTTATTTGGTAGATATTGGCTGATGATGGAAAATCACATCTAAATGTCAAGAAGAAGGGATTTATTTTGATTGGAAAAAACAAAAAAAAATACATAGATAAAAGCATGTATTAAGGGATTCAGTGTGTGGTATTATTTATCACCCGGCTGATCTATTTTTGATTAGGTCTAGCTCACATTAAGTGTTAAATGACGGCGTTAAAAAGCACATGCAGCACTGTCACACTTAAAGATCAAATATTTCGATTCATTCTGTACAGCGGACGACATTTTTGTGTACATGAGAAACAAACTTACGGCTGAGGTTTCCTGTAAACGATCTGGCTGCAGATGGTGTGGCCTTGAGGGGAACAAACAAAAGAC